TGAACCTTCCAAGGAAAGGGAAAAGAATGTCTGCCACACCCTTGGCTTTTATTCAAGAACAAGCTTTCTAAACAGTAAATTTCTTGACTTTAGTATTACTATCTATTAATAATCTGAATAGCTAATGATTTCCTGTTTCATCAAGTCCTGGCTATTTTTTGATTATGCTCTTCTCTTTACATTTGCATTTTACTATAAGAAGCAAAAAGAAACCAAGCTACATATTCAAAACTTTGCTTGGTAATCTCCTCAGAAAAAATATCCAGGTTTATTGCTTACAAATTCTGCTTTCCAAGTAACTGTAGGAAATACATTAAACTTCCCGTGACCACATAAAAAAATTTTGATTCTTCCAGTTTCCAATAATACACTTCTCATTTGCTTCTGAGTCCTCACAAACTGTACTATCCTTTGTACCATAGTCAGTTTGGAATGGTTAAGTCTTTAAGACAGTATAGTTGTCTATACCATACTCCTCACTTTCTTCTAAGTCTTTACTAGAAGTTTCTTTCAAATTTGTATTTCTAACAGTTAAATCAAAGCAATTTCAGTTTTCCTATCATACTCCTCAAAATTCAGTATTCATCCTTTACTCTTAAAATTCTGGAGTCAGAAGTCCAAAATGTGTTTTTCAGCTTCTAGAGGCTTCTAGCATTTCTTGACTCATAACACTTTATTCTGTTCTTACCAGCAGTATAACATATTTACATTCACACCCTTCTCTCCCCTTCTCCCTTCCTATATCCCTCCTTCTCTCTCTCTCTCTCACATCCTGGTCACTATGTTGAAGACATAGATAGGGCTATTGCAATAGTCACACAAGTAAGTGATGGTCACATGGATTAGAGTGGTAGCAGTGGTAGTGGTGAGAATTTGTAGTTCATTTTGGATGCACTTCTAAGGTAGAGCTCATGATTTGCATGACTGGTTATGTTATGAGAAAAAGTCAATCGGAATGACTTCAAGGATTGGGTTGCACATTTGATGAATGGAGTCACCATTTACTGAACTGAAGAAGGTTGCAAAACAAAAGCAAAGTTTCACTTTTGGATATGTTCAGATGGGGAGTTTTATCAGATATCAAGTAAAGACTTTGTGGAGGCAGACTTTAAGGAAGATTAGAATTCAAGCCAGAGAGGGCCTCCACGGTGGCACAGTGGTTGAGCTCTGGGTTGTGAAGCTGCCCACAACCTCTGCAGCGCCAGTTCGATCCCCGGCTGCCAGGTGAGGGTCCCACATGGCACGCAGACCTCTCCTGCCGCTCGCTGCTCCCCTCAGCAGTGTACTTCATTAGTCTGCCTGTTCTGCTCTCCGCTCTGGCTGTGGTAAATTCTCTCACCCTCCCACACTTCTGACTGTACCCAGTGCTTGATGAATAAATAAAATAAATCTAAAAAAAAAAAAAGAGTTCAAGCCAGAGATAGGCTAGCAACACATTTTTAGTAATCTCAGCACATAGATGACATTTCAAGCTGTGAAACTGGATGAAATCTTCAAGGGAGCCATTATAGAAGAAAAGAGGTGTTCCAGAATAGAGCAAAGGGGTACTTTTGTGTTTGGAGGTCAGAAATACAAAGATAAATTAACAATTGAAAGTATTAACAAGCAGGCAGTTGGAAATTATAGAATTCAAGAAAGGGTGATTCCTGGAACCAAGTGAAGATGTCTATCAAGAAAAGAGTGACCAAATGTGTCAGATACTCTGAGACATTGAAATAACTCTTCATTTTGGCCTCATGGAGGTGATTATGTTTTGAAGGAATTAGGGATATAAGTGCCTGATTGAAATTACTTCGAGAACTCCACATGCTTTTGTAGTCCACCCAACAGCAAAGAATTCTTACTTCATTTCTAAACTTTGATGAATGCTTAAAACTTTATGCTATGTAATTTGGGGTTGACTGGTAGTATAAATATTCAACTTTCTTTGAAATTGAATTAAGACTTTAAATTTGGTCATCTAGTGATTTTTCACTTGCAAAACCTCAAAAATGTTCTAGCTTTAAATTGTCTAAATTCCTTACCTTCAATTATCTCTGGTTCATTACAAGACAGATGAATTCATGAAAACAGAGATTAATGTAACTGAGGAAAATTCCATTTCTCTGGGAGAACACAGTTTGTTGCAGGCAGGATAGTTTGAAATGCAATTTGCTTTAACTTTTACCCCATTTCTTTATGGTGCTGACAGAGATCAAATATCTACTAGTCCCGAGATTAGTTATGGGGCTCTTTAGTTGAAAATACATTCATTCCTGTGCCTCTTCTGGTGGTGCAGTGGTTGAGTGCTGGGCTGCTAAGCTGCCCACAGCCTCTGCAGTGCCGGTTCAATCCCTGGTCACAGGAGAGGGTCCTATATGGCGCACAGACCTTTCCTGCTGTGCCCGCTGCTCCCCTCAGCAGTGTATTTTGTCAGTGTGCCTGTTCTGCTCCCCTCTCTGGCTCTGGTGAATCCTCTCATCCTCCCACGCTTCTGACTGTACCCAGTGCTTGTATAAATAAATAAATCTTAAAAAAAAATACATTCATTCCTGAGACTAATGAATATGTTACTAATCGGCGTGGTTTAACTGTATATTCCCTTTCTCTTCTTAAATTCATCTATTAAAAACATTGTTGATTTATATGTGACTACATATATGTAAATCATGGGAATTTTATATTTGGTATCTTTTGCAAAAAAAAAATAATTATAAAACATAAAATATTGAAAATCTGGGTCTCCCTGGTGGCACAGCGGTTGAGCGCTGGGTTGCGAGGCTGCCCGCAGCCTCTGCAGCACCAGTTCCATTCCCAGCCGCTGGACGAGGGTCCTACATGGTGCGCAGACCTCTCCTGCCGCCCGCTGCTCCCCTCAGCAATATACTTTGGTCCTTCTGCCTGTTCTGCTCCCTGCTCTGGCTCTGGTGAATTCTCTCACCCTCCCATGCTTCTGACTGTACCCAGTGCTTGCTTGTATAAATAAATAAATAAATAAAAATATATTGAAAGTCTGAACCAAAATACTCCCCTCAAGCATTCTGTCAATATTTATTATAGATTCTTTAAAATAGAATGTGCAAATGAAAATTATCCCATATACGCCTCATACATTATACTCTTCTGCTTTTCATTTCCTTTGTACTGAGGGGAAATTTATAGAGTGTATGGAATAGATAAAATAGCAGGGGAAGCTGATAGGAGGAAGGAATGTGTAGAAGAAATTTGACAGATTGAATTTACAATCTGAAGATAGAAATCATCTTTCATGTATCTGGCTTCTTCTGGACAAATACTAGGTTTTTAAAGGGTTAGAATTTGCTCTTGATGCCTCTTCTAATCTTGCTGTCTGCCCACTTTCCTCTTGTTGGGGATGTTCTCCTTGTAGTGCTATAGATATATGGTTACATATTTGATATCCTTCTATTTGAAATTCATCAGTCTTGATTACAAGAATATTTTCTCTGCTAGGTCATAATGCATGCTCTTGGATTTTAATCTGACAAAAAAGTTGTGTGAAAAACAGTTTAGTTTAACTTTATGTTAAAATTAAATAGACAACCAACCGGCCTACGCTAAGTTGAAAATAAAAGTAAGCAGTAAAGAAGGAGAACTATATGAGGAAGAGCTGGCATGTGGCCAACTCTGATTCATTTATTAAGCACCAAACTGATTCCAAAGATGTACAATAAGGAAAGGGTTCAGTGAACACAGTGCTTGAGAACATGGGTCCCATTGGTTGGGGGAAAATGGTTGGTTACTTTTCTGGTCATGACTTAAGTTTTCATAGTCATCTATACTTTATTATTTAACATTCATGGACTCCAAAGGGACTATCAAATGATATTAGAAATCAAATAGACCCAAGTTCATACCATATCTCTGACACTTACTGAGAAATTAACAGTTATCTGCTTTCTACATGCCTCAGTTTACTCAAGCATAGAACGGAGCCAATCCCCAAATCATGATATTATTGTGATCAGGATAATATCAAGCACGCTATGAAGAAGGACTGGAGTGAAAGGTAGACTCTGTATATATATTGAATATATATATTCAATTGGAAATTTGATAATATGTCCTGGAAATAATGAAGTTGGCATATATAATAAGCATAAAAAGGAAATTTGGGGGAAACTGCTTCTTAAGGGTGGACATTTTTCAGTCCTAAATAAGAAGACTTTTTGATTTATACTATAAAGTACTTAGTGCAGAAACATATTGTTACCAAAAAAAGTTTGAAATCTCAAATTCACTCACTAGGAATCCTCAAGGTAAAATAATAAATCATAGAGGATTAGTAATATCACATCAAACTAAATGTTTACTATATGAATTATATTTTTATGCATTATTTCTGGTAACTAAGATTATACATAAAAGGAAAAAAGATATATTACACTTCTATAAATGAATAATCATTGTATTTCCCCACTCTATATTTCACCCATCCATTATTCTGTCCATCTATTTTCCATGTGTGTGTAATATATATAAATATATATGTGTATGTGTATAATCATAATTACAAAATGCTCAAAATTAAATGTTAACAATGTCTAGTCCCCCACTATCCCAAACTGGATGTTCCTATTTAAATAATTTGGTAGGTTGTTTTTGGAGTCTGGGAATGTTGTAGCCATTAATTTATTAGAATAATTTTTAAGTAACCTAGATACAAAAAATAACCTACCAGATCATACCCCCTAGGAACACTCCATTTTCAGATAGCAAGGAAAATCTTATAATCTAATCATAATTATACTTTGAAATTTATGGGGACTATATATACAAAGTTGGATTGAACAGATTGCATATAGCTGGGGCCACTACTTGTTCGTCATGTAGGAGTGTATGACTAATGGTATTGTTGACTGTGCATGAAGAAGTCATGACCAAGAAATAATGTCTAAATTTGTTCTAGTCAACCTAATAAATAAATCACCATATACCTCAATTATCTTATAGAAGATGAAACTTTTGAATGTCAAGAATACAAGTGACAAAATTAACTGTTATCAGACTTTGGTTTATTGTAAAATTTAGCAAAGTTTATCTTATAATCCCTGCCCCCTTGCTCTGAAAACAAAACCATAATTATTGCTTATTCTTTCCCCCCTACTTTATTTGTGCAATTGTAAAAGAAGGGAGAAAAATCATTGTAATAAATAAAAATAGAGATGTAAGAGAGAAAAATAAGTCAGTCCAGATGAGAAACATTAGAAGCAACAGAAATACCACCAAGCAGTTTCAAAATAAGCTTCTTTTTAGAAGGTTGTCATATAAAAAAAATCACACCAAAAATATAGCAGCGCAGAAGAAAGATAAATACAAGTTAATTGCACACCGATCCCATGCATAAAACTGGGTCATCAGCCAAAGCAGTAGTATTCAGAATTCAATTTGGGATGCTTGTGCAGTGCCTGCGAGTCCTCTATTATGGAGCTGTCACTGAACTGGTCCAAGTCTGATGGGGTCTGATGGCCTGGGACATCATCCACCAAAGTGTCCAGGTAGCTCCCCACTGAGATGCCATCGAGTCCATCACTGCCATCGTGTAGGCTGTTGTAGCTGCCCTGTAAGGAGGTGCTCTGACTCTCTAGCAAACTGCAAAGGCTGCCGCTGAGACTGCTGCCTCGGCTGGTAATGGTGGCTTTCTCTTCAATCATCCACTTGATGGATTCAATGCTCTCATTGATGACGAGTAACTGTCGCATGAGTCTGACATCTGTGGCTCTGAGGTTAACCTATGGAGAAGGGGGGTGGAAGAGAAAAGACATGCCAGTTATTCTACATCCTTGAAAGACCCAACATTCATGAAATTTCTATCTTCAGCAGTTCATAATTTTCAGTTCACAGAACAAAATAGAATTTCACTTGATGTCCGGATCTTATTAAAACTACTGACCAGTGGTAGGATAATCAAAGAACTCCCTCTCTTTTACATGTATCAGGGTCTGAAGGGGACAGTGAAAGTCCCATTACATCTCTGGCTCTATGGATGCTGCCAGGAAATGTAATATTGAATGTCAATTTTTCTGCTAAGAAGTTTACTCTTTCCCTGACAGGATGAGTAGTTTATTTATGTTTAACTGGGAGAGTATGTTGTTTTAAGAGGTAGGGAGAAGAGGAAAATGTAGAAATTGTGAATCGCCATCATCATCACCACGATTCTAACAACTCTTATTTACTGACTGCTAATGTGCTACCATATATCATTATACAAACTCAATCTCCATTATAATAGTGACCCTGGACCGCAGACATTATTATTGTTATCTCTATCTTACAGAGGAGGAAACAAATCTACAGAAAAGAGGAGTACAAAAAAGGTCTGTGTTCTTTGGGACTATAATGACATGTATAATGTGGAATAATGCTTGTGTTATTTAGGAAGTATTAAATTGCTGTAATATCCCCTGAATCCAAAAGGGTGACAATATATAGGCTGATCTACTTCACAATATGAAGTGTACAGATATTTTCTGTAAACCTACTATTTGCTTCAGATATGTCAAGTTCAACCCTAATCAAAATTGGGATATGAGATTCTGAAAAGGTTCTAGAATTCCTTTAATTGCTTTCTAACTATTTGGTCCTTATGAGTTCTAAGGTACTTTAGAGAAATGTCTTTATAGTCAGAAGATTTTCTCTGTAGGCCTACAGTTTAATGGAAACATTTGCTAAGGTTGGGAGCGGGAGATGGAAAAATTCTCCTGATTACCCCTTTTCTTGTTAGAATTGAAGAAGTGTGGCTCCTATGGATTCTAGCACTGGAAATAGGAGGCAGGGGCATGTTTGGCCACTAGAGGTCCTAGGTTCAAAATGGATTCCTGTTCTTTCAGTTGGGGTCTTTAACCCAGGATACTGGGCCTTGTTAAGTATAATGATATATAGCCCTGGATCTACTTCAGATTGTGAGTTCTGGAATTATCAGTGGCACTCTGTCTTGAATGACTCAAGTCATAATGGAGAAAGGATACTATTGTCTTCAGATGTATGCATTCATATAATAAAAATATTTCCTGGTTGGTAGTTAATCCATAACCAAAGGTGAACTTTGGATTGAGTGAATGTGATACACAAACATTAGGTGAGGTGGAATTTCTGTCAGTGGGTTCAAAGATGTAAGATTTTTTGTTTATTAAAATATAAATTAAATTTTCTTAATTTTACTAGATTATTAAATAAAGTGAGTTAAGTAACTTCTTTGTAGTCTATGAAAAAATAACCAAACAATAAATTATGTAGACAGTAATTGTGAAAATAATTCCTCTCTAAGGTGTCATGAACAGAGATGTGAACTTGGTGAGTTTTGCCATCATGCTTTTCTATTTTGCTGTCGTTTCAATTCCCTTGCTGTAACATGTTGGGAGGGAGACTTTCTGGAAGTCTTTATGTTCGAATTCATCTACACACCCCATGAGCCATTAAGATACTGTTCAAGTAATGAGTAATACAACAAATATTTACAAACGACAGAATTTGCCTAGATTTGCTGAGGAGCCCAGAAAATCAATATGAGCCAATGGCTTACAAAATTCTTTAGTTAGGCATCACTAGCTGATAAAACACTGTGCCCATATTAAGCATGGTGTCATATAAATGTGATCATTTCTTAGCAACTCCCAAAATGAGCCACATCTGCATTTGCTAGCATCCCCACCCTGTCCATGAAATAGTTCTAGCCTGTTCCCAGCTCTCAGCATTCCATGAATCTGTTCACTTGAAAAAACTTATTTTTTTCCCAAATCTTCCTTATTCTTGAAGTCCTACTTCTAGCATGCACTGCTTGCTGATTCTAGCCTCTCGTAAGGGCTACTTGACTTAACTTCTATTGTCCTTTTATATTTTATCTCCTGGTATAGCTTAATTGTTACTGTCTTATATTCTTATCTATTATTGTGTCTTTCAGTTATTTCTTCAACTAATCTGTAAGTTCCTTAAAGAAATCATGGCTTACATTTCTTTCATATCCCAAGATCTACATTGATTGTTGTTGTTGTTTTTTTTTTAGAAATAGGCATAATTTTAAAATTTGTGAAAGTTCAATACTTTTGACAATATAGTGACACACACTCATGGTAACTATGTCACTCCAGGGTTAAAACATATTTTGGTTAATTTTTTGGCAGCATTTTTTGTCTAAGTTACACAGTGGATGCATCATATGCTGATTTTTCAATTTTATTGTGCCATACAAATATGAAGAAAGCTGACTATGAAGTAACAAAAGCTTCCTTTGACCATGAAGTGATTTATTTAAATAAAAAAATTCTTTTTCTCTGGAAGGCAAACATTCACAGGCCATTGAACCACTACTGAGGAAAAAATGACGAAAGCAAGTTGAGTAGAATGTGTTGCTCTGACTGCTAATGATTACAGATTCAACCACGTCTCACTGTGTCCTCCTGGAGAGAAAGTAAACAGTGTCAAACTGTGGGAGTGCTGGGCCAGCCGGTTCACACGGATGCCTGTCCAATACTTGGAGCACTCAGAGCTCCAGGTTGCTTCATACTACTTTCTCCTAGAACGAAGGTGCAGTTACCCTGTTACAGATGAACCTTGAAAGTATGAGCAATCCACCACAGGCTAAATGACAATGTCGCTCTGTCTGCAGTTGCAGCCCCGCCTTTCCTCACTGTTGTTCATGTCTGTCCTTAAGAAGTCTGCCTATTGATGAACATAATAGCCTTGCTCAAAACTGGAAACCCGAAGATTTTTTTTTTTCCCATAGAGATCTTATATGGCCCCTTGACTTTGTTCTTAGGAGATTGAGAGTTAGGAGGGTCTCTTTTTTGGCCTGAGTTTTAGTATCTTCTCTTTGGAGAGCCCCTTCCTGAACCACTGTGATTTCCAATCCCCATACCTAGTTTTATACTACATTTATATGTTTTTTTTGTTGTTGTTCCCTTCATAATATATATGATGAGCTGAAATCAATCAGCTTATTATTTGTTCATTTAGTATTTTCGGTTTCCGCTATGAGCATGTAAGCACCAGAGTGCAGGAGATTTCGTCTGTCAAGTACTCTGTGCCCAAGATCAACAAGAGTGCTTGGCACACAGTTTGTGCTCAAGGGCTGAATGACTGCCTCAAGGTGAACCATCTGTCAGGGATGCACTTTCCTTGGGTTTGGCTATGTGGCAGTGATACGTGACTCGAGAGGAAAGAAAAAGGTAGCTCCAGGAAGTAGCATTTCACTGTTGAAGTATTTCCAGCATGCAAAACCATTCCTATTCATCCACAGGATTCAGACATGAGTAACTGGCAGAAGGTTATTTCTAGTTTAAATGTACAGATTATGAGACAGTATCTCTACAAGGAAGTGAACTTCGAGGTATGACTCACTCTCTAAACATAATTGTGTTTCTCCCAAAGTGATAACTGGTGCTAGCTCAGCAAGGTGTTCTGTAAACACTTGGTGAAATAAGTTGAACAAATAAACAAACAGGACATTTGTCCTCTTTAAAAAAGTTTGCATTCATTGATCCATAGAAATGGATGCCCTTTCTTTTACTCACCCCCTCCCTCTCTGATCATTACAATTATTACAGTGTGGTCCACGTTCATACTTAAGTTTCTCATGATACAGAATCATAGCCTAACACCCGAATGCTGAAATTGAATGTCAGCTTCAGACAAGTGATGAACTGGGTCGAAGGTAGAATTTGAGATGAGAGATCATGAAACAGCCTTAATAATGAACTTTTCTTTATCCAGACTATGATTTTAATAGTGATAGAATATAAAGTTTATGAATTAGTACACTGGAATCCAAGAAAGAATGCATTCAAATTTTCTTTTAATCAGGGAGTTACTAATCAGCTTGGCTACATTTGTTGTGTTGTATGAGGAACACAAGATGTAGTTCTGGTCTGCCACAATCACTGTCAATGTATGTGACCTTTGAGCAAAGTGGCTTGGCATACAGGATTTCAGTTTCCAAGAACAGGAAGAAAATCATAAGGTTTTATTCCAAGCTCCAGTAAGCCATAAGATTTAGTGGATGTGGTAAAGCAGTTTGTGAGCAGAGAATAATTTCTTTCCAATAGTATGAAGATTTAAAACAATTGAGGAAGCCATCTATCACTTTGTCTACTTTTTATATTGAGACTATATTATTTTTATTTATTTTTAAAGCTTTATTTATTTATACAATAACTGGGGTACAGGTCAGAGGTGCGGGAGGGTGAGAGAATTCACCAGAGACAGAGCAGGGAGCAGAACGGACAGACAGACCAAAGACACTGCTGAGGGGAGCAGCGGGCGAGATAGGAGAGGTCTGCCAAGCCATGTGGGTTTCTCCCCGGCCAGGGATCTAACCCATGCTGCAGAGGCTGCAGACAGCTTCACAGCATGGTGCTCAACCCACTGAGCCACTGGGGAATCCCTGTTATTATTTTTAAAGATTTTACTTATGCATACAAGAGCTGGGGTGCAGGCCAGAGATACAGGGGGTGAGAGGATTCACCAGAGACAGAGTGGGGAGCAGAACAATCAGATGTACAGAAATATACCGCTGAGGGGAGCAATAGGAGAGACAGTAGAGGTCTGCTGGCCCATGTGGGTCACCTCCCTGACTGGGGGTCAAACTCGTGCTGCAGTGGCTGCTGATAGCTTCATACTGCTGCATCATAATCCTTTGTGCCCCCAGGGAGGCCCCACAGAGCCTATATTTCAGATGTTATTTGATAAGAAGTTTCTGTAGATCACATCTTCCCAGAATTTCCCTCCTTTCTGACAT